TTGTCCATCTAGGCCACCGTGGCAGTGGTCAAAATGTGTACTTTTAATTAATGAGCTCTCTCCATAACCCTCTTTCATAGTTCTATCAATTATACCCAGTGTGTGCAGTTGCTAAGGTAAAATGTTGCTCCATGCACAAATTCCCCCACAAAAGCACTTTGATACAGAACAGCTCCCTGAAGGATGAAAAAATATTTTTCTGTCTCCAAAGTGCTGAAAAACAAGGAGTTTCCAGGATGTGTCCCAAGCCCAGGGGGTGCAGCCTGACACAGCCACGGCCGCTCAGGGCCACAGTCACACATACACGTCTGCGTTTTTATCAGCCACGTGCTAACATCCTTCTGCCTACCCCAAAATAAGCTATTTGAGCCCCAAAAAACACATCCCCAGGGAGCGTGGTGGGAACGTCTGTCACTGTTCAGCTGGCTGTGTGAAAACCCTGCAGAGAGGAACTCCTTTGGTCACTGGGCATTAGGGAATACCTTCACTTACACACGGGGAAAAGCTAAAAAAACCACCACCAAAACAACCAAAAAAACCCCAAGTGAATTCTAATGTACCCACATGTCAAAATATTTATAATGCTTACACCAAGCTCCGGGGTAGCCTTTCAAAACAAGGCCAGCTATACTGATATGACTTTGTTGATTAATCAGAAAATTAGTCAGCCTAGGATGCTAACAGCACCCTAACCCTAGTACTTCACAAAATTACTTTCTGAATTGTATTTTAGACATAATCAGTTGTGGGACAACTTGGCCACACAAGTAAAATTAGGAAAGGAGGAATACTACTTGGACTAAGACATGAAGCATTAATGACATGTTTTGTTAACTTTATATGTTCATTATCAACATGTTTTGCAATAAATAGGGTTTGTTTCACACTGGTCTGCACAGGCAGTTCTAGGAAATACCATTAGTTTGTTCTGCTTTCTCTCTCCCACTCCTTCAGCTCCCGTCCCATTCTCAGCAGGGCATCGCTTCAATTTATTGGTAGCTCCACAGAAACTGAACAGCACAAGTGGGAGGACAGCCTCTAGCAATTAAGAATAAAAGCAGATAAGTGAACATAAATCAGACTAGAGAAAAACAAGTGTGAGAAGTTTTTAAGGTAGCAGAGCTGGATTTTGAAATGGACTGGAAAACAATAAGTATAGAAATTGTGAAGTCAAGAGGCATCTCATCAACATACTTACAAGAGCAATTTATACTGTGACACAGAAGTTCACCCAGTAACAGGAGCAGCAATCAGAAGTAGCCCAACACAAGATTTCCTCCCAGGTGGCTGCCAGGGCAGTAACAATACTTCCTTTCCTTACTTTAAAATAAAATTACATTGTCAACATAAATGATAATCACAAGTCAAGGCTGCCTTTCGCTCAGCAAAAAAAGGACGGTATGAAAACATGTTTTGAATGGTAACTTCACTGAGTCTTAATGGTCAACATTTGAAAGCTTTTCCACCCCACCCCAAAATAAGGGAGAGAAACATCTCAGAAAACCTCACCGAGATTCTTATGTCAATGAATGACAGCCACAAGAATTCATCATAGCACTAGGAAAATATTTTCAAGTATGTTTTCAAAAGGATACTGTTATTCAAATGGAAAAAGAGTATCACACCACCACTGTCCAACAACCCAACTATTTCAAAATATTAAATTCATTAAGTATTTTATTACTGTGGTCTCCATAAAATACATAATTAAAGAACTAATAGAATATTGCTTGTCGATGTAAATATAATTTTCAAAATGTTTTCGCACAGTCTCTGCTTTTAGTACGAAAATGACAGGAGCAGCTCTACCCTCCTCCCCCAGCACAGCATCAGGAAGGTCTTTGCTTTTTCAAAACTGTTTCCACTCCCGTCTTTCATAACCTTGCGGGAACACAGAAGAGGTGGTTTTAGTCAGGCAGGAATAGTCTTCATTAGTCATAAGAACGAAAACCAAGTACCAAAGTAAATCCACACTCTGCACCATTTTAAAATCCCTACTTCATGGGGAAAGGGCTCCTGGAGCACAATCACTGATGTAGGCTGGAGATGCGGGACAATTTGTGCCTTAATTTTGGATAAAGCTCTCAAACATTCCAATAAGTCAAAACAACCCTTTTAACATGCAATAATTTATATGAAACATTCAATCACTCAATAAGCACCTGAAAAAACATTTAAGCACACTGAAAACGTAGGAATTTTTTTTAAGTTTCTGCAAGGAAATCCGAGAAGGATTTCTGAAAAATAAACGCCTTCCACTTATAGCCCAGCAGCATCACCAGGGGAAGCCATGGCAGAGCAAGCAGCAACGCTGGCACTACTGCTGGTACTGGAGCTTAATGGGATCACCGCTGATCACCAGCACAATGCCAGCCCCAGAGGAACCATCACACGGTGCCTACAGCTCAGCCAGGCTGGTTCTGGAGAAAGCTCGCTGCCCACTACTACTCCATAATCAGTATTATGGAAACAACTCCTTCCACACCTCCCAGGAGAAGGTAAGCAAAATTATCATTTAGACAAACTGTTCACCTTCCATCTGCTTTAAGAGGAACAACTCAGTAACAGACCCCCACAGAACAATTAACTGTGTGGAAAGACCCCTGCTGCTAGACCCCAGGATCCAAGGCTCAAGCTTCCACTGTAGTTCTTTACTCTGCTCTCCATTTACAGATAGTACATCATCTGCCACATTTTTTCCCCATTAGGCAAGCTCTGACAAAAACCTGAGCTCGTGTATGCTCTGCTCCCGAATTACTGATGGCAGCAGAAAGCACAAATCACTCCTGCACCATCAAACAAAGCAGCCAACACGCTGTTGCAGGAAGGATTTCCATCCATTCCTGCTCTCCAAAGCATTGCACGGAAAAAAGCCCTAGAAACCTGTCTTCCTACTGCTACTAACACCGCTTCCTCCCAAGGCTCTGTAAGGATCTTCCTCTGTTCCTAGAGTTATTCTGTGAGGCAATCACAATTTCTATATAGTGCCTAAGCCTACAGGATGTATCTGAAGAACTCTCTCAGGGAACACTACAATGAACACACACAGGCATGCTACGTCTACTTTTTGCATCTTCTTTTCAAAAGAATGGTATTATACTATCAGGTCTGTAGTTACCTGCAATTTTTGAACACCAAAAATACACCTTACTTTCTTGCTTTCAATTCAACAACTTCAATCCTCTTATCAATGCTTTTTTCCTACTTTTAGATTCACTCCAGCAAGCTTAAAAAACACAGTATTAGAGATGCATACTTACTACACACTAAGGTATTTAGGTATTTTGCCTTGTGGATAAAAATATATATCTCCTACACACACATAAGAATACCAGTTATGTGCATATTACATGATGCATGTTCTCCTTTATTAAAGGATTTGAATTTCAATGAGTCACTTTCTCAAAATCTCCATTCTAGAAATAAATAAGTACCTTCCTTCAGGGTACCCAGTGGCATCATGCAGCTGGGGCAGACCATCCCACCTTTTGCATTTATTATTTCATTAGGATCAATGTGTTCTACAGTCAGAACTAGGACTAACCCCAATTAGAATGGGATTTGGTACATCTCAGGTTTTTCCCCCTCTGCTACCACTCTGTATTGCTGTGCAGGGGGAGTTTCAGCAGAGCTTGGGCTGCAGGGACACCGCGGCTCATACCAAACAGAGTTTAGAACAACAGGAAATCTTTCACATTTTCAGCACAGCAGATCCCTCTTCCAACCTTTCAGCTAACATTCCAATCCTCACTGTGGAATACACACAACCAGGAGAGTTTTAAATGTGAACTCAAGTGTAGAGTGGGAAAAAAGCAGCAAAAATAGGAAAAAAAAATAATCACAGGGAGAAAAAAGAGAGAGTGCCTGGACTCAGCAGCATAACAAGATTAGATGATTGGGGGCTTGGTAATGAAACTGATGGCTTTCTTTACAGTGTATCAATATGATGATGTTCAACATTGAGACCAAATGTATTTCAGGGCTCCCAAATGGTAAGTAAGGTATTCTGCTGCTTTTTGAGTTGCATACCAGCAAATCATTTTAAACAGTAGAGCCACTTGTAAAATGGAGTCTTATCTCCTCCTACAGCCAACATATTATTCTCTGTCTGTAATAGAAAATTCTTCCACGGATTGCTTTTCCTATCTTTCAGGTGATTATGCTGGTGTTTCAGCTTTAGAGGCGAGGAAATACATAGATTCCATTTATGCAGACATTTCTCTGTCTAGATTTTGGACAAAACAGTGGATTTTTATTGGTCAGAAGTGAACTATTAATAAAAACAATTTCAACGTTATATTAAGCAGTCTATACTAGTAAGTTCCTAGAAGGTAACTACTCAAGACAAACTGTCAGTGAAAAAATCTTGCAGCGTCTAGGTTTTTACCACACACCAATGCTGTAAAAATCTTAAGTATCTTATCCTCATCTGCGTCAGATTTAAGCTTATTATTCTTAAGTGAATGGAAATTTTTTTACCTAATTATTTGTTAATTCTAAAAGATTACATTAAGTTTATGACTATGAGTAGTTGCTTTGCTATGTTTCTTACCATATTCTTCAACATGAAAGTACTTAAGAAGAAACCAAAAGCTTTGAACAGAGAAAAGAAAACAAACATGAAGAGAAGGAAGCAGGAGGAGAGGCATTGTGGTGTGAGGGTGAGTAAGCCACCAGTACCTGCCACACAACCTACAGCTCGTCACCAGGCCATGCTGAGGCAGTATCTTCTGGGTGGAAGAATATGAGTAGCAGTTCCAGAAAATAAAAAAAAAAATATTATTTTTTTCACATCAACTACGAAGCATCAATTTCAAAGTATTACTTATAATGCTGGTTCTTACCTAAAAGATACAGAAGGTCTTGTCAGTGCTGGAATAGCCAGCAGTTCTAAGACAAGGGTTTGAGGGCACACATTGATATATATAAGTCAACTTGTCAAATGCTTCCCCTCTCAGGGATATTCTCAGCTGTAATTACTATTCTCTGCTTTTTTTCAGGATATACTAAGTGGGTCTTCTGAGCTGGAATCCTGTCCCTCACACCACCGTCTGTTGGCCAAGAAGCTATCTGCCCAGGACAGGGTAAGGTAAGGGAAAGCCAACGAACTACAGGGCTTAAGTCAATGGTGCGATGTAAAAAGAAAACAATCCCTCACGACATAGACCTTTAGAGACAGCTAAAGAAGGGACACGAAGCCCACTAAGTCAACGGGGCTTTGAGGCATGATCAGACTTTTCACACGCCACCAAGCACTATAATCAATATTCACACATATCTAATTGCATAATACTTGCTTCAAGTCTGCTGTTCCAAATGACGCCAGTTTAACTTTGCTCGCATTAGGATTCATTCTAGAGAAAAACATTTAGCATGCAAGATGCCCTGCATTCATCTTGTAATTTATTCCTTGACACACTGAACAACTGCATCAAAATACAGCACACCTTCCTATCTGCACTTGTAATTATGAGGACTGTATCACTTACAAAACCTTAAGTTAAAAGGAAAAGGAGCATAATTATGTGGTGTAGAAAATTTCATAAACTATACTTACCCTTGCTTTTCCTGATATATGATTTAATGTGCAGTGAAAAAAAAACAACACAGCCGAGATGAGCAACTTACGCTCCAGAACAGAATATATCAAATAGCATATGTAAGGAAGACACAATATATCATTTCCCTGAAACCACAAGAATTTTTGAAAAGAAACTGCCTCATCCATGCTAAAACAATTTCAGAACAAAATACAGAAACAACTTTTTAGCAGAAAGTCACTGACTGAAATACATAATTTTCTCCTGTTTCGGGAGAAACAACTTAAAATACCAGTAACAACGTACTAGAGCAGACAGAGAAAAGCCTCCACGAGCTGCTTGGTGAAGCTGAAAAAGCCCATAAAAATGTGAATGTCTCAGGAAAAAGAACAAACAAACCACAACTTAACATCAAGCCAAATTTTATCAGTCATATTAGCAGTAGTCATCTTCAGCTGTCACAACACACAAAGCTGAGGGCCATGAAGGCCTTTCAAGTGGAATAAACACACAGCAAAAGGTGTTGAAACACAAGGGAGGTCAGAGTCTAGAGAGACATTTTCCATCAATAATGCCCAAAGTGCAGGGATGGAGAAGCACAAAACAATACATAACAAGGTAAGGACAGGCAACTCTGAAGAAACTGACAGCAACTTGCTAATCTATAGATATTTCCTCCGAAACTGACTCGAGAAGTTTGGGTTAAAAACCCACTAAATTGTCACAAAAGCCCCACACATCAAAGCACTGTACAAGCAACAAACTCTGTACAGCTGTTTAAGAACAAATTAAACTTACTATCTTATACCTTTAAAGCCAGAGGAGCTACTCAGCCAGAACTCTGGTACCTGTAAGGCACAGCAATTCACACCCCCAGTATTCAGTCCAACAACAGGTCTCATTGAAGCATCAAAGACACCAGTAAAGGCTTTGGAGGAGTAAGTCTCTGACATCTGACCAGCAACAACTCGAATAGTGTTAGGGATTCGGTGATAAAATCACCCCTTCTGATGCTTGAAGGACAGCATCTATGGTCTGAACCAGACCTCTCCAGCCCCCATGGCCACTGAGATACAGAAAGAGAAGGCAGGGTGAGAGAAGAGCTAGAACGTTTTAACACACGTTCAGTGGAAACATAATTAACAGGCAAATCACGGTCTGTTATTCATTTGTCTGACTGTATCAGACAATCCTAATCAAACCTCCTAAAACCCAACTGTTCCAGAAACTAAAATGGAAAAAAGAAAAAAAAAAACAACCAACAACCTCTTTTCCTGCTGTGTCTTCAAAGGAACAAAATGCATTTTTCTCAAAAAACATTTCCCTAAATCTTGTGTGTCAACTGCAGATTTACTCTATCATACCAATCCATCACCACAAAAATGTAACATTCCTATATAAAAACAAAAAATGTATCATTAGTGGTTTTCAACAGATTTCATGTCCAGCAACATCTGCAGAGCAATAGATTTCACTAAAACAGACCAGGATCTTTTCTAACCACAAAACCAAGGAACAGATTAATTTCAAAATAGCACAGGTCAGATGTCCCGCTTTTCCAGCCGGATAAAGCACCAAGTGCACTTGACCAAAGTCTCCCAAACTAGAGCATATGCTGTCTGCCAACCAAGTGACTATTTCAGACTTACGACCAAATATTTTATGAAAGACAATGTTTAAATTAGGGTTGGTAACTTGGACCTGTAGAATACCTTTGCTAAGATGAACGTGTGAACAAGCCCATGTTAAATTCATGGCCAAATTTTATACGCAGTTTGCTACTTACCAAAGTTATTTTGTAATAACTTGTCTAAAACTTTAGGATACTCATTCCTCTTTGGATCCGAAATGAGGTCAAAGTGCTGATTTTGACATCACAATCTGTTGCTCTGGAAATTATGGCAATGTTTAGACAAAGAAGTTTATTATGAGATCTAATAGGATTGCTTGAGAAAAAAATCTTTTCATTCACTTCCCGAAAGCAACACAAGACAAAAAGACTGGAAACTCTTTGAGTAAGGACTCTTCTAACATTTTAATACAGACCCAAGCATATTCCCAGTAACAGTATACATGGGGTTTTTTCCATTTTTTCTTTAATAATTAGCATTTCCTTCCAGCAGCCCATACAATTTTAATCGGCATAGAATTACATTTACCCAGAGTGATCTTTCCCCTGTGATACTCAGTCTTTTACTCCATCTGTGAGGATGCAGACACAAAGAAAACTCTTTCAACAAGAAGAAGAGTGTTTCTGTGTCTGTCCTTTCCAGTCACTACAGCCTGCACTGGTTTTCAGCATTTCTGTTATATGCTGGGCCACATAAAGAACATCTAGCTTCTTCAGGATGAGATTGCCAGCTTCAAGTATTTTTAAGGAACTTTTTAAAATATTACCTTGTACTTAGACTCTTAGGAAGTGACACTTAAAACATCTCCAGATTTTTCTGGAATGTGAGCTGTAGACATTCAGGTGCTTTATCTTTCTCCAGGGAAGCTCTTGTGCTTGAACTCAAACTGTTCTTCTGAGGCACAATCAGCCAAGTTCTGTAATCTGTACAGAAGAGCAGGAAGTTCAACTTTCACAAACAAAGAAATAATACCTAGGAACATTGCTCTGAGTATCCTCGTATCAGACAGACCATGTAGACATGCTTCAAAGGATCTAATTTCACCCCAGTAAATCCAGAGGAATTCCCAATACCATCCAGAAACTCACAAACATACCAAGTTATTACAGTGAGGTAACCTACTTGGGAAACTAAAAACACCCAGCTACTGACAAGATTAAAGATATATTTCATTGCTAGATAACTCTCACACAAATGGATGTCACTAGGGATGCCCGTGGAGAAGCAAGTGGAGAAAAGGTCCATCACAGTCCTCTCCTCCTACTCTTCTCCTGCCCTCTACTCTACAATGCATTCTATATACTGCTTTAAAGCTCCCAAAATAGAATAAAGCATTAAAGAATCAAAGTTAAACATTATTATTTCTATTAAGGTAAAAAAAAAAAACTAACAACTTTCCATTGTGTTCAGAAACTGTTTAAGGTGAAGAATTGTGTTCAATTCCCAGATTGTAGAGTATGCTGCCCAGAGCCTGTGAGGCATTTTCTGTAATTGGGCAGTACCATTTAAATGTCACCTTTGAGTGCACAACTAAACAAGAATCACATCTAAAAACACTGTTATTAAACAACCAGTTGACATTTCCCCTTTTAACTTTGTAACCAACACACATGTAGCGTCAGGAAAGAACAAAACCAAAATACCCAAGCCTGAGAAGGGGTGGCTGAGAAGGTGGCAGGGGGATCTCCCTCTCGAAATTTTCCAAATAATCAATCTTTTGCAATGCTCTCATACAGAAATGCTTACCAGAAAACACTAGCATCTGACAAGTACCCCACCTAAACCCAACTAGATAAAACACAGGCACATTGACCAAAAACCCCTAACTACTTGAAAAGCAGAAAACTGTTAGAAAAGCAAGAAACAAAGGATCACAAAGGAAGGATACAGCTATGTTGCAAAACAATGAAAATCTAGCTTGCCTAAAACAGAAAATATGCACCAGTCATTTCAAGAAGAAAATTTTACTAAAAAAAAAGGCAGGAATTGGTCGCAATTTAGGGAGGTATCGTAAAGATGTTTCCTAAGGAATTATTTTCTCTGATGTGACCCTGACAGTAAGAACACACAGGGCAAAAATTTCTTTTAAAACATACAGACAGCTACTTTATAGCAAAAACTTTCTTAAGGTTTTGCTTTGCTTTTTACCTAATACAGCAAAAAAATTCTACCTACTAGTGGTAGTGTTGCCACGCTCTCCTACGAGGGCTTTCCTTAGGAGGGAGAGTATTTATTTCCTTCATGAAAATAATTCTTCAAAGCAAAGCCCTAGAATATCCCACTTCAAACTAGAATTGTTTTAATAAAAAGTTGTCACAGGTGCTCACCCTGATAAGCTGCCGTACGTTATCGTCAGACTGAAGCCCACGTACCAGGGATGGTATGCAGTCCCACAGCTGGAAAAATGCCTGCCTTGCTCTGAAGGCTCTGGAAAATGCCTGAAAGCCTGACGGAGCCTCGGTGACTCCCCCCTCGGATACACCCCCACCTACCTTCACCCACAAACAGCTCAGGATTCCCCAGCCACACCTGGAGAACTTCCCATTCCCCTGCTCAGCACTTTTCTTTCATTCCTCAAAGCTCAACCAGCACTTCTAGACCCTCTGTTCTGCCATTTCCCACCCCACTCTCTCTTGTACTCCAAGAGAAAGCCCCACTCCTGCTCCAGCCCAGGTCCCCGGACAGTCAGTTTGCCTCATGCAAAGTTTATGACCTTAATAGAACCATACAGATCAATCCCCCCAAAATTTCTTATCAACATGCTCATCTTCATTAACTACAGCAAAGTTAAGACAAGATTGATGTTTCAAGACTACAGTTCTCATAATAATTTGTCTTGTCACATTAGAGCACTTCAAAGTGAAACACACCTCATTAACACCAACGTCATCTTTTTGAAGTTTCATAGAAAGAAAATAATCTTTTTTTTTTCTTTTTTTTAATTACCGTTTTGGCAAAATTCAAGGACTGGACCAAAATGGTTTATTCACAGAACACTAGAACTGGGATCATATCAGACCAAATTGGCAACTAATCTGCAAAGCAATATTTGTGAAACTCCTCCCCCCCAAAACACACACCTTACTAGTTTCTCTGGGGGCAGCAGGGATGAACTCCGCTGCCATAAACCCCTCCTGCCATAAAATTATCTTGAGGTACACAAACAGCAGAAGAAATGCACACAAAGCCAGAGGCACAGCAAAACACAACGGCTACTAGCTTCTTCTCAGTGAGTTTGGAACCCGTCTTTAACAAATTCTACTTAACTTTCAAAATATTTTTTCATCCTACCAGGCAGAACCTCAGATTTTACAGATATCAAGAAGCAGCACTTCTATGGTTTAGATCTGCAGCCCCCATATAAGCCTCCAGCATTGCTTTCAGCCACAACACACACAAAATCTAAGCAGAACTGGGAATACGATATTGCCTGGAGAGCACAAGATTGCCCACGGCATGTTACTAATAAATTGTTGTTACCCAAAGGCCAATGAAGGTTAAGAAACACTAATCCAGACATATCACCGAGCTCGAGGAGGACCGGTGCGATTATACCGTAGATTCTGTCAAGCCCAGCAGAGCCAGTTGCCCTCTGAGCCAGCCCCAGCACAATGTTTTGTGATGAGGTTACCCATGCTGCTGGAAATGTCATCTTTCATGTGTGATATAAAACCCCTTCTATAGCTACTAACAATACCCCGGCATTGTTTGCAACATGTAGGGTGTTGCTCTGGCTAACGTCCAATTCCAGTAATAATATTCTATCTACCTACAGTAACCACAAGAAGATATTCTTCATTTTCAGCCCCAAGTGGTTTTGCAGCGCAGCAGCAAGCTCTTAAAGAATTGCCACACTTCACTGCAAGTTCTGCATTTCACCATGCATTTATCTGCCTGCACAGATCAGGCATTTCTCTAAAACTGTAGAAACACCTTGAGATTACTGCGAATAAAGGAGCTCTTTTCATACGGCACAATTAGTCATATCAGCAGTGATACCTATTTTGAGCAGCACCCATTAATCACTATCATTAGCAGGATTTCTGGTGTACCAGCAGTCATTGTACCAAGAACAAGTCTCTTCCTATTACAGTACTACTATATAAACAAAAGCAGCAGCACAATTTCTCTTGACACAATCCTGTTTTGAGTAACGAGAGGCAAGCGGCAGGACTTAAAACTCGTCAATTCAGAATATGAAGGGAAGCTTTCTTATACCTTATTGGACAGCAAAAATACAGTTGTTTTGCTGCAAAGGAAAACTGGCCGCCATTAGTACGTTTGGGAAGAAGAGGTGTTGAGAAGTGGAAAATAGTGGGAAGAAGGGGGGATAAAAAGCTCTCAGGTTGGAGACAGACAGAAAAAAACCCACAGCAAAATAAGATGCAAGTGGAAAAAGATTCAACTAATCAAGTACAAGTTGATACCCAAGAAGTGGAAGAAAGCTAGACTTCTCTTTGAAACACTCGTAGCACGTATTTCATATTACTTTGTATGAAAGATTATTTACCTGTTAATCGATCTTTAGAGTTTCAGAAGAGACTTTGACTAGAAAAATATTCCCAGTACGCAATATTTCTAGTTTCCTAACTACAATAACTCTTGATTCAAAATGAAAGACACCAACAGAAGGATTTACACCTTATGCTGACCTCGGAAGCAGCAGCACAAGGCACATAGGAAGCAGTGGCTCCGTGCTGCTTCCAGCCTGGTTCCTCGCACCCCAAAGGTTCCACGAAGCACCACAGTGCTTGGCCTGAAACACACCTTCTTCACAACCACAGATTAAATACTTAAAGTCCTTCCTTCTAGAAGGGAAAGTACAGGACAGAAAATAAAGGAAGGAAATAAAACCTCATGGAAGTCCTGAACTTAGAAAAATAGCAATTCTTTACAGAAGAAGAGTCCATCTTATTTTCTGTAGAGATGTTGCCTAGTAGAATGAACACCACCTAGTAGATGACTCCAGCCAAGTGCAAAATCGCATCGATACCCACGATACACAAATAGCACCTGTGCACATACCGAGATCAGCCGACACTCCTGATCCCGTGAGCTGCATACCAAAACCTTCATGTGGCTGGGAGCTACGCGGCAGACACCACATACCTCAGAGAGGTGAGGGACGGGGAGCATACCGCTGGAGCTACAGCCGCCCGTCGCCCACAGACAACAAGAGTTCCTCAAGAGCACCACCACCCCTCTGCAAGAGGGCACGGGGCTGAGGAAATAGGCACATCGAGCAACAGCGGCCTGTAAATCCACAGCGACCTTCTCCCCAGCCTCTGGATTTGAGGTTATCCAACAGCCACGCTGGCGGTTACAAGACGCAGAGCCGTTTTGGGAACCAAACCTCAACCTTCTGCCGGTGCCTCCAGAGCCACAGCCTGACCGACTTTGGAAAAAACCAAGCCGTTTATGGAAGCTACACACCACTGATGTGCGCCGCGCTGCAAGGCACTGTTCCTCTATAAAAACAAGAAATAATGGCAGCTTTCTACTAGGTAACTAGGTTTATCATCTCACACAAAGGAAACAAACCCGGTCTTTTGACTTCTTCCAAATCTCTAAGCTACGTCCACCTGACGAATACATACCTGCACCATTTCATAGAATCATAGAATGGTTAGAGTTGGAAAGGACCTTAAAGATCATCCAGTTCCAACCCCTCTGCCACGGGCAGGGACACCTCCCACCAGTCCAGGTTGCTCCAAGCCCCCTCCAACCTGGCCTTGAACCCCTCCAGGGATGGGGCAGCCACAGCTTCTCTGGGCAACCTGGGCCAGGATCTCACCACCCTCACAGCAAAGATTCAAGTAAAAATTTCCCCTCCGTTCACCCAAAAAAACCCCTCCAGCAAAGAGAAGCGAAGGTGTCCTCCTAAAAGTTTCAAGCTACGGCCTCAAACGAGAGTTACCCTCCGCTGCGGGCACCGCCGCAACAAACACCCCGGCCGGAGACACCACCACAACAAGCACTTTTTTATTCCAGTCAGCATCAGGTGAATAAAAAAACCCGTCGAGATGGATGGAGACACCCCTGCCCGCAGGCCTTGGGGCCCGGAACGGCGAAGGAAACACAGGGTGAGCCGGTGTTCCCCGGGGAGACCGGTATGAAACACCCCCCCTCCTCAAAGGCCGCCTCAGCGCCCGGCCGGGCCCGGGGCAGCGACGCGCCGCCCTGAGGCGAGGCCCCGGAGGGGGCCTCGCCTCAGGGCGGCGCGTCGCTGCCCCGGGCCCGGCCGGGACGGTGTTCCCCGGGGAGACCGGTATGAACCCCCCCCCAAAGGCCGCCTCAGCGCCCGGCCGGGCC